GCCACAATAAAATAATATATAAGTAGACCGAAATAGCTATGTATATAAATAGCTTAGAATTTATCACATCAATATACAGACACACTGTGGTATTATCATCAATAATCTCTCAAACAATTAGGTCTATTATTTAGATGTATTGACGGCAAGAACAGGGAGGTAATACAGTATGAAGGACATAAATGAATTACATTATTTCTCTGATCGATTTGTTTTTCTGAAGTGTTCTTAACATACGGTCCTAGCTATGTTATGATAGTAAACGCAATGCACACAACATCTCATAACTTCTTGTGTCACTAATATTCATCGCATTCAAGTGGGTCAATGTTTAATTAACCTGATAATGTACGATTCATTGATTAAGGCCAATACCATTTCTGTCACAAGAAGAGAGTTTATGGTTATTGGTAGGCCTAATTGTTCGTATTATATAAAATATGTGAATTCCTGGGGCTTTGATCACAGACGTTTTCGATTCTATACGGATGATAATAATAACTTTATTTCATATTTATTCTCAACAAAAACAACAGGTCTTTTCAGAACTAGCTACGTGGTGTTCTCCAAGACGCTAATAATATACTGTATAGAATATTTACTATAAAAATACAAATACAAAAACGTTTATATATAAAAATAAAAGTAACCTCATCTTTTAAAATGATGACGAAGATGATGACGATGATGATGATGAAGATGATGATGAAGATAATTATGATGATGGAAACAATAGGCCCATACTCACTGCTCCTGTATACCGTTTAGTAGATGGACGGAAGTACGTGGCACGGGCGTTGTTGAAGTCAGCTGTGAATATTGAATACAAGCGATAGACCTATAATCAGTAATCAGTTAGACATAGGCCTATATGTATAATATAAGTCGTCTATGTTGACGATCCATAGGTTAGATATATGTATACGTTATATAAGGTGGAAACAAAATGTTTTCATTTAAATGACATTAGCGAAAGTGTTGAAAAAAGAATTATTGGTTCTTTCATAGATATACATTCGCTTTCACTAGTAAAGTTTACGAAAACTGTATTAAAATAAAATAATAATGTACATATTGTTACTTACCAGGTCCACATAAAGTTGTAGTTCTACAGTGTTCGTCTGGAAGCTGATGGGCAGCTGTATCCATGTCCATTCGGCGAAAGGTGGGCAGCTTAGGGTGATAAAGTCCCTCTTTTACTGCAGCCAACTGGACTTTACGAAGTGATGGGTATCTGGCCACATATTCTGGGGCCGGAATCTCAACTGTGTTCGGCATTCTAAGTCACTTGCCTGAAGTAGCTTATTCGCCAAACCTTACCTTTATTGTTTTTAATCTTCACTAAAACACCAGTATTAAAAAAATGTGTATAATTTCTTCTGTTGTCAGTCCGCTGTTATGTTTGATTATCCACACTGGTCGGTGTCTCAACTATGCCTTAGGTCTCATGTGTTACAGAACAATAGCTTGGGTAGTCGCCAGGCAACACGGATTAGGGTTAAAGATTAGGATCCATGGGATAAATAATAGATGACGTCAGCAGAATGTTTGAAGATGCACGCAGTACATCTCTGCGGGTTTGCAATGTTTTGAATGTCACAGGTGTTTCTCTCTTTGTAAATTCATATACAATACAGGCCTACTTGGTAAAAATTGAATATAGCTTATCACTTTCAAAATGAATTCTAAAAAAGCCATACATTTTGTGGTGGTAATTTTACAAAAAAGCATTTGTGGTGGTGGTAAGCCCAAACGTAGACCGCGCACAGATGACTTATTACACGCACATTGAAAATACGCATCTTCTCAATTGTTGCTATGGGCGACGCACAAATTTAGCAGCAGCCTTGTTCGCCGCATAAATTAATACGAGAAAATTTCACCCCAACCTAGATTCTACCAAGCTTCTGAATTTTTTCTGATGTCTCTAGTGTAAAGAGATGTGCACTATAATAAGAAACATATCACAGGGGATATTGATTTGCGTTATGAAATTGGCCTTTAATGAAGATGATGCACCAATGCCCTGCTGCAGAGCTTAAGTCTTTGATGAAACGTGTATGTATGTTGCTAGCTCAAGCAGTGACATTTAGAAATCAGGGTTATATTCATTTACATATGCACAAACCAAACACCTAAAAACTGAATACACAAAACGATAAAATTGTCCCACAATTTATTTTCCAAGAAAACCTATCAATTAGAATGTCATTAAAGAATGCACTGTATAAACGAGTTAAGCTATGTTTATGGCCACATTGTAGAGACAGGCTCATATACCCACTTGTAAGTAAAGTAGTAATAAAAATATAAACATGATAAAATGAAACAAAAACCAAACTACACTATTAAACACAAGGCATCTGAAGTTACAAAAGTGAAACTGAAGCAGACCTATTAAGAGTGAATTTAAATACAGTAGTTAATTAAGGGACGTTTATTTGTGTATATCCATTTTACAAAAAAAAAAAAAAAAAATAATAATTAAATAAAAATAAACGCCCCTCTAAAAACGTAATCAGCAAGTGTTGGGTAAAAATAATTGGCACAACAAAAAATACCTACGTTTTTGCAACATATGGGTGACATTTTGTATATTTCAGTAAATTATTAAATTTACGTCGAAAATATTTACCTCGATAACTAACAGATGTCCACATAATGTAAAGTAGTAGGCCTATTGCTCCTCAAATCTTTACAATGCCTTTCTCATTTGATCCTTATATAGGCCTAAGGGTTTTTCTAATTATTTTACTACAGATATTATTAACACACCATTAAAAATGAAGTTAATAATTTACCAACAGAATAATAAATATTCTTAACTATATAGAAACAAATATATTCCTACTTGCCATTGTTATATGATATAAATGTATAGATATGAATATACTGTATGAATTTATAAAAATGCTAATAAAAAGTTGCAAATTAGTCAAATAACATCATTTATTATTTATTGAGCACAAAACCTTTCTTCTAAGCACACCCCCCCCCACCCTTGGATATTGTTGCTAAGTGTGCGTTTGTTAGACACGCTGTTCTGATTGGTCAATTGTTATTTTTTATTGACACTACAGAAAGGTACATTATCCTCAAGTAGTTAAAAAACATCAGGTCCCAACACCCCTCCCCCCCCCCCCCCCCCCCCCCCAGTCAATACTCCTGTATGTTATGCCTCGATGTGCCAAAGACGAGAGAAAGGCTAAGAATATAAACAATGTGCCGTGAGCGCCACTGGCGTGGAGGACACCGGCGCTACACAAGTTTTCATTTATTATTATTATTACGTAAAAATTGTCCTAAATTGAAAAAATACAACTTTTAATTAAATCACCCCGCTTGTGAGAGAAGACACATTTTCCAAATTCCATAGTTACCAACCGTCTCGCATCGTGCGGGACGGCCCACATTTCAAAGTGATTTTGGATGAAACACGTATTTTGCAGAAACACATGCGTGATCCTAGATTTGTCACACATTTAACACAAGTCTATGCGTGATAACAATTTATCACAAATTCAGGGGAAAATGTACTTAAAATTAGAAGAAATTGGTTGTATTAAAACTATAAAAACAGGGATGCAGTAACTTGAGTCATGAGAGAGTACAGTATTTCCTTGAAGGCCCTACTTATTTCACTAACGAGTTACTAAAAATTGATCAGTAATGAAATGTTTGTGTAGGTCTACATAGTTCGGGTGCTCAAATTAAACATAGGCCTACATTGAAACTCAAAATGGCTTTATTAATAATATTTTTGCTTATGTAACTGTATTATCAACAAACACTCCCTAAAATCATTTTAAAACAGCTTAAAAATGCTCAGATCGTAGGAGCGGCAGGGTGGTTCCCCTGCCGCTAGGACTCCCACCCCCAGCCAACTAGTACAGTCACTCACACATTTCAAATCTCTCAGGTTGGTAACTATGAAATTCCTCCTTTTCTTTGCTCTGTGCATTATGTTTGAAAATTTTGTCTTAACATATGCAGTGCATGATTTAAGGTAGGATTTCCATTGGTTTCATTTTAGGAATTTCAGGTTCATTTCACAAACAGAAGCAGAAACATTAACAGTATAATCGCTAGCTACACTGACTCCATTTAAAGTTGTTTTATTTTGCGATGCGCTAAATCTGCCACGCTATAAATTTACTAAGAGATTAAAAATATTATAATAATAATGATAACAATAATACAGTAGAATCCTCCTTTGGGACATATCTATTAAGTGGAAACCTTTTTTTTATGTGAAGAAAGGGAAAAAAATATTTAACACTACAGTAAGTGTAACCCCTATTCAGGGGACACCCTATTCAGGGAGCATGTTGCTGGTCCCAAAGGTGTCCCCTTAATGTACTTCTGCTTTAATAATAAATTAAAATGATGATGAAGATCATGATGCTGATAATAACAAATAACATTTAGCAATATATGCAAACCCCAAACCAAATCAATAAAAACAACCTTTAACCTTTTTCCATTTTGAAATGAGTAGCACATAATATAGGAAGCTTTCAATTTGCGTGACAACGTAACTCTAGAACTACAGGGGAAGGTGGGGAGGCACAACATTTTCAGAATAGATAAACGAGTAGTGCTAATTTCAATATATGCATTGAAATTTGCAAATTTAGTGGCAAAATGGGGGAATGTTCCCCTGTGTCCTCCTACTGGATCCACGCCTGAACAGATTCACTCGTGCGTGACCGTCGTTCTCTGGAAAATACAGATTCGGCCAAATTGCGTCCTACAATCTATGCAACCACAAGAACTTTACGTTATCGCATGCGCATATGACTTTATGTTCTGCATCCTACCATGGAGGTATTATTGAGACAACAGATCCCTTTGACGCGACAAACCTATGTGTTCCCCGCTTTTGGATCGCGCGTGGGCGTATTACCCTATAATTCACATTTTTTCGTGGCAACTTGGCAACGACATGCATTTATACGCTTCCAGCAGCGCAGTTGTGCAATAAAACGTTTGATTTTAACCCATTAAATATCTTTATAATGAACAATGTTCCCCTGATTAGATTTTTTCAGGCTTTTGGTATGTTATTATTTGTATATTTCAGGAACGGATTCCGTAAAATATTTATGTTAAAATTACTTCTGTGTTCATTATAATTTTGTCTAAAGATTGACTGGTTTGACTATAAAGCTAAGTCAGCGTAAAACTGAAAAATACTCAGATTTTGGATTCATTTTTCGAATAGTTAACCCTCGTTAACCCTAAAATGACTTAGTTTATTATAATCCTTAATCATTTATTAATTAATATCTGTTAAAATTAGAATTGGCGAATTTTATAGGTCATGTAAATGTTCCATTAAATTTGAAACTTTTCTTGGAGGAAAATATTAATATGTTTGATATTTTATGAGAGATAAATGTATCAGCTTCAAAATAGAAAAGATTGCGCAGCCATAGTG